TAGAGACAATAGGAACCACAAGTATATTCTAATATAACTGATGCTAGCAGCATCTACACTAACCTCTTTAGCAGCCACCATTGTTGTTTTAGAGCCAACAGTCACTTCTCACGTGTGACGTTGCACACACCTAGCATTAAATCACGCCGTAGCTGCCAGTAGTTCCTCAAAGGACGCTGACTGCTGTAAACCACTGTGGTTGGACACAGGCACATAGTTTGAAGCCTGCATAGATGGATTCTCTTGCGATCTCACAAACTGCTCAACACCTCATGTTTTTATAATTTTTTGTTGCTGCATTTGTGTTTGTGTGTGCGTGTCCTTGTCCAGGTGAAGCAGCTGTCTAAAGAGACTGAAGTTCACTACCAGGCTCAGCTCCAGGCCACAGAGGCTCTCAAAGTATCGAAGGAGTTCTGTCAGCAGATAGAAACCCAGCTGCAACGCAAAGAGCAGGAGATCAAAGACCTCACTGCTGACAAGGACTGCAGGTCTGCTCCTGTATTGTGTGAGGCTACATAAAATAAAACAACAGCAATATATATGTATGGCAATAGACACTTCATCAATAGCAATAAGAAAATTGTTCTCTAGAATATTGACAGTTCCACTTAAATACAGTAAATGCAACCCACCATGAACACACACAAGGAGCTCATAAGCAGCCAATCATATCCCTTGAATCACTGTAGCCGCTTTGTGCCTTTGGAGTACGCAATGCGCTTTCATGACCACCATGGGTTACATCTCAAGAAACAGGCCACAGCCAGTCCACGGTGGAGAGTACTCAGCAACAATACCGTATTACAAAACAATAGCATTAAAAGAAAAGTGGTTAAATTCAACCTTTTTTTACCTGGACTTTAATATAAATAGGTCATAGGTCAAAAATGAGCAATAATTATCAGAGTTGACTGAAATGAAACATTTTATTGTGACACTTTTTTCAGCTGTATTTCCCAGCACTACGTGTGTTTATGGTTTTGTGTCTGTCCTCTGTCTCAGAATGAAGGAGCTTGAGGACGAGCTGAAATGTATGGAAACCAAACTGAAGAATGAGGAGGATAACCACATTAAGAAGTGAGTCATTAATAACCTCCTCTCAGTCAGCCAGTCAGAGCCAGCTGCCAACATAGGTAGGTACTATTGGAGCTCTCAGCGGTTGAGAGAGAGAGATAAACAAATCTCTAAATTTACAAAAGAAAGCACCAATAGCAGCAGGAATAAAAAGGCTGTGTCCAGACACCATGTTTTTATTGTTTTTGATGTGGTTGTTTGTGCTTTTTCTCTCTTCTGAAGCATGTAACACCATTAGATTTATCATAGTTTTATATTTTTATATAGTTTCAGAGTGTGTTTGGTTGTTTCAGGTTAGTTTTTATTAGTTTTAGGTTTTATATTATAATATAGGGGGTATTTGTCAGGGGCAAGATTTAAGAAGTTCAAAATAGGTATTACAATACAAACATAGTGACTCACAGTCATGTAGACATCACAGTCTCAATAAACATGCTTGTTGTGTGTGTAAGGTAAAGTGATTCCAGTATGTTTTAATGCCATTTTAAAAGTATGAAGTATATTTTATATTATTGTGATAATATTGTTTTGACCAAGGTAATTGTGACATGAAATTTATATATCATCCCACTGCCTAGCTGATCCGCTGTCATTTCATTAGTTTAGTATCAGGCAGTCAGAAATTTACTTGAGAGATGGGGAGATTCACAGTTTGTAACCACAAAACTAGTTTATCAGTACTCTGCAGAATGTCACTTTGTGTATTTACATGCACTTAAGTACTGGCTATTTATATATGTAACCTTTTCATGTCTATGCATGTGCATGACTTCGCTGTGAGAGCAGTGTGGCAATCATTTCACCTCACAATTTCTTTTATTTAAAATCATATCAGTTTGTCAAGGACAAACCTTCGTAGTTATTAGTATTTATATGTTATTTCTCCGTCATCATTCGTCACGTGTGCATAAATACACATCACTTCCACGCAAAACCAGATCTTACCAGCATCATGACAGTGCAAGCTGCACACAGCTGCTCCCTTTCTCCTGCATGTCAGTGAGCACTGAGCAGTGACTTTAACCTTTTATAGACAGTGATTAACTGTGGCACAGCTGCCTGCCACGAGCAGACATTTCATTTCAGTCTCTAACTCAGCTAGTTCTATTTCATACGTACTACCATGGGTAGGAAACCTGTGGCTCCTTAGCCCCTCTCTAGTGGCTCCCTCTGACTTTGATAAAAAATATTCTTGAGACAGATCTTTGCACTCACTGCCGAACTACATACTATAATAACCAGCTGCTCATTAATTTTATCTCTCTTATCCCCCTTTTGTACAGACACAGCACTCATCAAACACTTTTCAAATAGAGCAG